GTGTGTCCATTGTCTATAAATGTACCAACATGTGTTGTCTCTGGGGTCGATAAAACCCCCACGTCCTCGCCGTGGCCCTGAATAACGCAGAGAGCGGTCTCGTAACGTCCATGTTTCCCATATTAATTGCTTTCCTCTAAAATGGTACCCAAATCCCTCATTAGGTGACGGAAACCCATCTAAATAAATCTACAACATCCTGAATGGTTTGGTGGACTTAAACTAGACATTTACCATTATTTCTTTTATTTTTTATGTTAAAATATGAGGGAACAAACTGGAAAACGGAAATCATTTCTTAGAATTTTCATAGCCAATACTATTTTTTATAGAATGACTACCGAAAAAAACTTTGAAAAACAATTTCTAATACATTTTTTCTTGCATGAGTGGCTGAAAAATAGGGTAGAAAGGAGGATTCATCAGAGACATCCCTGAATAATTTTTATTTTTTATTCCCGTTGATAACGCTGGCCTCCGGTACAAATCAATTTCAAAAAAATCCAAATCCATGGCAAATAATTAACAAGTCGGCCGTTATTTGTTCTACAGGGTGCCCCCTCGACCCTAGAAAATGCCGAGCACATATTTATACGCGATAAACAACGAGGGTCGGGTGTTGGCGCTCTCCAGCTCCGGTAGCATGTGGCGGGAATTTATGTACCTCGGTCTTGAATTTAAACGGCTGTCGGCTGTGCCCCATTTCATGTGGGCTATCGGTGGTGATCGCCAGATGTACGTCCACGTCCACGGTCTTGACATACCGATACGCATAAAAGAGGAGACGTACGAGAACGAGCGGTGGCTACCACTTGATGGCTTCAGTGGTAGACTATTGCCAACGGACAGATATAATTTCTCGAATATCGATGGAACTGTCGATAGATCGAGGGACAAGGTTAAACTTCCCTCGATGGCCTGGCAGTGGGAGGGCGACTGGCATATCGAGACGACGCTTGATGGTCAGCCGCTCGATCATGACGTGAGTACATAATTATTCGTCATTCATCGGATTATTCATTCGAGCATCTAAAAGTCGTCCGATTACTCATTCAACAGTCAATAATCTCCTCACCTATTAACTCGATTTACTGCTCACGCGGTAGACCGCTATTGAGGAAATCTAGATTCGCACCGATTCACTAATGAAGGCACTGCGCAGACAACTGCGCACCCAACACGCGGTTGGCCCAATTTCAGTTATTCTTTCTTTCAGCATTCAATTGCTTTTTTTTAAATATTTCCTTTCTATCGTATACCCTTTCAAGTTTTTAGGAGTCTTATTCCACCCTTTTTCCTGCACCCCACTCGTCTATGTACCAAGGAAAAGTCTTAGCTGAGGGGAAAATTATATTAATGTCAAGCAATCCAATTAATCGTGTAAATTCTGCTTCGGCCTTCGCATTTTAACCAATCCTATAATAAACCCTGTTTTTCCAGGGTTGGACATACGCCGTAGACTTCCCGGCGACGTACTCACCGAAAAAACAATGGAAATCCTGCGTGCGTCGTCGAAAATGGGTGCGCTATCGGCGGTACTCAGCTCTGAACTCATGGTGCGCGATAGCCCCCCTCCATAAGGACCCGACGAAAGAGCCATTTATCGACGTAGCGATAGGTGGAACACAGGTCCCAGGGGGGAATCCCACTAATTTATCGGTTTGGGCAGTGACAGCTCACGGGCGCCTCATGTACCGAGTGGGAGTGTCGACTACCTCTCCGGAGGGCCAACGTTGGTCCTCCATAAAGCTTCCGAATGGCCTAGAGGTCTCTCAGGTCGCCGTAGGAACATCGGGTCTAGTCTGGTGCATTTTGACTGACGGTAAGGCCCTCGTCCGCACAGGGATTACCCGAGAGAACCCAATGGGCGATGACTGGAGGACCGTAGACCCTCCAGATAACCTGAAACTCTCGCAGGTCAGCATCGGATCAGACGCTGTTTGGGCGGTATCCCAAGATGGTTCCGTCTGGTTCCGAAAAGGAATTAAAGGCGAGATGAGCGGAATATGTGAACAGTTAGCCACTGGCACGGGGTGGGTGGAGATGCCAACTAAAATGGCAATGGTATCAGTAGCCCCTAACGATGAAGTCTGGGCAATCGGTCTCGAAGATCGCTGTCTGTACTACAGAACCCGCATATCCAATTCCGAGTTAACTGGCAAGAAATGGAGATCTATTACGGCACCACTTCAGTTATCTAGAGCCAGCTCCAACGCCAGCCTGTCATCATCAAACCGTCACAGCATGTGTGGAACTCCTCAGCAACAGCGCCACCAGAGCTGGAGTTCACTTAATCGACCCCAAAGCACTGGAGATACAACAGCCTTGATCAGAGACTGGGAGGAACAGTCGAGATCAGCGCCGACTGCCACTTCCTTGAAACCCTGGGAAAAGGCTGAGAAGCCCCAGGGCTTCCAGGAAATGTTTCCCGGGGATGACAAGACGAAATCGTCAACCTCGATCGAGTCAAATGATCTGACAGACTCCTCTGGTAACATTACGATCTCCAATGAGTCGTTGTCGCATTCCGGGGAGAGCACGATCGTCTCCGGGAAGGGCATGGGGAGCACTGTGAAAGTCAATCCTGCGGCCTGGTCTCCGGTTCACTCGGTGGGATCTATGGTCGGAGTGGAAGCTCATCCAGAAACTGATGGAAGCATTTTTGATCCGGATTTGACTGGTGAATCCGGTGTCTTCGGAGAAGATGACAGCACAGCTGCAATGTACTGGGCTGAGTGCGACGTGCTCTGGTGCAAGGTCGAGGCAGGCGCTTGTTTCGTAGACCCTAGCAATCCTCCGAAATGGATCAGCGATGGACAGCACTCGAATGCCACCGAAACCTCCGAAAGCTGGAGGATCAGAATCCTTGAAGAACTCAAGACAAGGCAACGAAACATAGAATCTTTAGACTGCGACTTGTCGATGTTCGAGAAAGCGATTGAACGGTCGTCCTGGGTGAAGAACGGAGACGCCAGGTGCCGGCTGAAAGGTAGCAGCAATTTCGATGATTGTGTTATCGAGCTCGAATGGATCAGCAGTGATTCAGGGGCTTTGGACTCTGGTACATTAACGATTCTCAATTCCGATGGGGCTACCACAATCCTCCAGTTTCCAGTATCGGAAATTGTGGCTGTCATTAGCTGCTCTGAACCCGGTGCACCAAGACTTGCCATTCACACCCCAAGACTACCAAAATCAAAAGTCTTGAGGCTTCAATTCTCCAGTGATACGGAGATGGAGGACTGGTTAGGCCACTTGACTTCGGTTACCTGCAAGATGAATAACGTGTACTCGAAACCAGGTCCCAGATCAATATGGACCACAACCGCATTGGGAGATGTCTACGTTTATGATCCTGTGATTGCCGAAGGCAACCAAGTGTGCGAAGGGACCTACACTCAAGACTTCGAAGTACAGGGGATGGCTTTACCCTTCGAGACAATCTTGCACAATGGCTTTGGTCCGGGGAGTTCACTCCTGATATCTGTTTGCTGCCACGACGACGCCGATCGTCTCGCCTTCAATTTTGTCTCTCACATGGGACTCGGAAAGAAAGCAACAGAGTCCCACGATATAGCCTTTCACTTCAACCCTCGATTGAACGAGAACATTATCGTCCGGAATACCTACGAGAATGGTCAATGGGGAGACGAAGAAAGATCTGGTGGATCTCCCTTGAAACCAGGATCAGATTTCTCCCTGAAGATTGTCTGCGACGATTGCAGATTCAGAATCTTCATAAACGACGAGGAGTTCACGTCTTACTGCCACAGGATACCTCCAGGAAGCATAACTCACTTCAGGATGAAAGGTCTGATGACCCTTCACCGGATTCTCTACACATCGATGCAAGTAATCATCGAGCCTGTTGCCATGTTCTGGAGGTTGATGGGTGGACACCTGCGGAAGGTCGAGACCTGCGCCTCGGGGATAACTTGGGGTCTAGGATATGACCACACAGCATGGGTGTACACCGGTGGCTGGGGCGGATCGTTCTTGAAGGAATTGGGGTCGAACGACGTCAACCCTATGACAGACGTCCAAAACTACTTCGTCTACGAGAACCAGAGGTGGAACCCGGTCACTGGATACACCTCCCACGGCCTGCCAACAGACAGATACATGTGGAGTGATATAACTGGGAAGCACAGAAGAACACGGGAGCACACCAAGTTGATGTCTAGCCGCTGGAGGTGGATATCTGATTGGATCATTGACTTCCACACTCCTGGAGGAGTTGACAGGGATGGCTGGCAGTACGCCACGGATTTCCCTAGCGTCTATCACGAGAAAAAGAACTTCACCGACTACGTGAGACGTAGGAGATGGTTCAGGAGGTGTCAGCTGATGACTTCGGGGCCGTGGAAGGAAGTCGGGAACACAAAGATCGTGGACATTAGCTTGTTCCATAAGGACGAGGGCGACGGGGTAGAGGTCTGGGCAGTAGCTGCCAACGGTGAAGCCCTCTACAGACGGGGGGTCTCTGAATCCTGTCCCATAGGTGTCTCCTGGGAGCACATACCCTCAGATCAAGCGCTCATAGGTATTTCCGTGGGGCCAATGGGGCAGATTTGGGCAGTCGGCAAAAACGGAAGTTCTTATTGGAGATTCGGGATCTCCAAGGCCAAACCCGCGGGTGAGGTGTGGGTCAATGTGGAACCGCCACCAGGAGCTCAGTTGAAACAGATTTCCGTAGGGACAGGGGGCGTTTGGGCCTTAGACACTAGTGGAAGGCTTGCGGTGAGGAAGGAAATTCAACCGAAGCTGTTCCCGGAGGGAACGCATTGGCAGGTGCTTCCAGCCATGCCCAATGATCCGATTCATATGGATCAGGGAGTCCCTAATGCCAAGCAAGGATTCAGGATGGTGGCGGCGGCCAAACGGGAGGGGCAAGTCTGGGCGGTTTCTGGTGCTGGGATTCTGTGCCGAAGGATCGGAGTCACTCAAGAAAACCCAGCGGGAACAGGATGGACCACTGGGATCGGGGTGAGTAATGAATATTAAGTGAATACGATATTTTGAGGCCAAAGGCCTGGCGGTTACTTCAACAGTTATTTGAATGAAAAACTTGTTGCAATTTAACTTTTACGTTTTCAGGCGAATTGGCAGCATATTACGATTGGAGGACTCTAATTAAAGCTATAAAGCCATTTCCAAAGCCAAATATCATAAGTCAAATAAACTAAAACTTTACAGTATTTTCGTAAGCTTGAAATGACTATAAAAGCTTAAACTCCAGTTCAAAGCACCAGAGACGTGGCCTGAACCTTAGATTCACTAGTTATTGCGTTTTTAGCCGAAGACTTATTTCCCGTTTGATGAAAAATCAACAATCGAAACTATGGCACCTTGTATTAATCAGCTTTACATTTATTTCTATGATACAAAGACATTCCTAGATAAATGTACGATCATGTATTTCATTTACTCCTAAATATTATTTTTGTACAATCGCCATGGGAGTAACATTAATGAGGAAAGGAACAATACAAAATAATAATTACAATCCTTTATACTACGTATGTACAGTGAGAGTCGAAATACCGAATAAATTACGCTCAAATGTAAAGTGTTTGTGAATAAAATATTTACAAAAGATATCGCTTCTCATCACATGTTAGTTTGTTTGATGATAATGATTTTTGAGGATGAAGAGAGTCGAAGAGTGGAAACTGATTAATTTATTAATGTATTGTCAGAAGATTTCGGGCTTCTGTTGACTCCGACCTTCTCCTGCATCTTCATCTGATAAATGCATTCGCCTGCGAACCTGAGTAATTGCGATTATAGTTAATACTTGTAATTCGACTCAGAATTTTGTGGTTATTCTCACGGGATCTGTGTACTCATCGGCCCTTTTGTTTATTTGTCCTTGGACACTATGCCTCAGGCCGTACAAGAAGTAGATTGCGAATCCTGAAATGTTTTTAGAAATGATGAAGCATTTCTATAAGTAACGAAAGGCTAGAGGACAATAAAGTCGCATTGTTCTCTGGTCTCTTGAGAGATACTTACCTACGGCCATCCAGACAACGAATCTCACCCACGTGAATGCATCCAATTGAAGCATCAATAATAAATTGATCATGATACTAAAGCACGGAAGAAATGGCACCAGCGGAACCTGAAGGAAAGTCAATTCGTCAGAAGTCGAAGGTAATGGTAATGAAGCGGCTGTTTAATAAACCACAACTGACCTTGAACGCTAGATTTATATCGTCGACGGGCTGTCTTCCGATAGCAATCATGGTTAGCACAATCATAACACCGATCACAATCAGGGCGACGAGGCCGATTGCATCGAGTCCAATGCCGCTGAAGTTCACATGATTCAGGAGCAAGCCGAAGGAAAAGGCAAGGCACGAGAAGGCAAGAACTGCCCAACCTGCCACTCCACTCGAGAATTCAGTGGCAACTTTCTGATTGCTAAGATTGAAGATGCGTTTGAAGTAGTCGAAGAGCGTTGGATCGTCCTCCAGGATGTCCTCCGGGGACAGCTTGAGAGTTGTGCTTGTGTTTTGATATCTCAGAATGAGGACACAGATTGCGACGATCGTGTAAGCAAGAAGAGTACCAATTGACATCATGTCAATGAGTTGCTCGAGTCCGAAGATCAGCGTCATAATTCCTGAAGAAGGCAATGATGATTGATTTAACGCCCAATTATTGAGTCCCATCAAAATCTAAGAGATTTACGATGGATCAAATGTCAAGCGGGGAATTCTCACCTGTTAAAAGCCCTGAAGCGATGGTCCCGAATACAGGTGTCTGCGTTCTTTCGTTGACCCTCGCTAGAAACTTGAAGATGACACCATCGCTTCCCATTGCATATAAAACTCTTGGCAGCGGGAACATTGCCCCGAGAAGACTAGTGCACAGAGCAAAGACAGCTCCAACATTGACAATCCCCATGATCACTGGCCAACCGATCTGACCGAAGACGTAGGGAAAAGGCGCCTCTGAGTTCTGATCGTAGTACGGCCACATCATTGTTAGAACTGTTGATATCGAGAAGTAGGCGGCGAAGGAGATTGCGAGTGATAAAACGATAGCGATGGGAATAGTCTTTTGGGGATTCTTGGCTTCTTCACCGGTCGCTGCGACTGCGTCGAAGCCGACGAATCCGTAGAAGCATTTGGCAGCGCCCACCATCACTCCGGATATCCCGAAGGGCATGAATCCACCCGTTCCCACGTGCGTGTAATTACTTGGAATGTCTTCTGGAGAGATACTCCAGTTGGAAGGGTCAGCTGCAGTTTAAAAAGGTAGGAAGTAGTCATTTGTCAATATAATTGACAACTCAGGAATAAATTGATCGATTTCGATGAACCAAGTCTTATTAGACCGAGGAAAAAGAGTATTTATAATGGGGAAATTTTGAAGGAATTCTGTCATCAATTCGCCGTGGTTTTCGTATTTAAAAAAAGTCCAAAGTTTTGATATCGCTTCATCCGTTCGAAATCAACGCCATGAGAAGAGAATAACGATAAGGTCTTTTACCTTTTAATGATCCTGCCACGATGACAATCGAGATCGTTATCAGATTGACGGCCGTGAATCCCATATTCAGTAATGAGGACTCACGCACTCCGATGCAGAGCAGTACCACCAGCAGCATAACAACGGCGAAGGCGAAAAAGTCAGGGTAAGTTGATAAAAAGGACACGTTAATTGGCATCACCGAGTGCAAATAGTTTCTCATTACGTTACCAATGAGGGAATCTACATAGTTGCTCAGGCCACGGGCAACACTCGCAGTTCCTGTTGAAATACAAAAAAAGTTCTGCAATAATCACGTCACGAGAGATTTTCAAATAATCATTTTGATGATTTCAAATGATAAATTTAACGAATAATAAATCCCGAACAAATTATTAATGTGCGTATTAACATCATTTTTCCTAGTCGGGATAGATTTTTTTATTTCTTTTGCGATTCTTATGAATGATCTGATGATTCCGGATTTATCGGAATTCAGAGAATGAATTGACTAGTTTTCCTTCCTCACGCGGGGAATAATTTTTATATTAATTTCAGTGGACGAATCCTGAGTAAACGGAAGACTGGTGATTAGAGTCTCATTACCAATTACGTATTCGAGGATGAGATTCCATCCAATAATAAAAGCTATAAACTCTCCTACAGTGACGTAACTGTACACGTAAGCAGAACCCGCCTTGGGTACTCTTGACGCGAATTCAGCATAGCACATGCCTGAAACAATTAGAAAAGTGTGAAAGATACGTGAGATTTGTTACAACAAATTCAGTAGAAAATTCTGGTGCTTCCCCTCAAAATTCAATTAAAATCTCCGCGAATTCTCATTCAAATTCTATTTTCAATAAATTTTGATTTTGCCATAACTCAAATACTTATTAATTTCAAAATAATAATAATAATACTAATTAAATAAAAAAATTATTGTAATAAGAATAAATATCCGTGAGACAAACGCCAACAGAAAAATCCTAATATATTGACTATTGTTATAATTAATATTAAAATCATTATCATAAAAAAATGAATAATTAAAAATTTAAGTGATTCATTAAGAATTCTGAGAATTCTGTTGCATTTCAATAGAATGTAATATTCCACGGAATATTACATATTTTTTATAGACAACTTTTTTTTCTACTGAATTATTTCAGACGGGACAAACGGCAAATCACCAGCTAGGGCTGAGGCAAAAGCAGCGATGAAGAAGGAGATGCAGACAGCGGGTCCTGCTGTTTCCTTAGCGACACTACCGGCTAGAACATAAATTCCTAGACCCAATGTGCCACCAACACCTAGAGCTGTGAGGTCCATAAGTCCCAAAACTCGGGCCAATTCTCCTTTTCCCTCTGAGTTATCATCCACTCGCTTTCTGCTGAAGGCTTTCCACAGTTTCGACGCCATTTTTCAATCCTGGGTAAGACAAAAAACCGTTTTGTAACAAAATCAAAGAAAAACCACCACTTCCTCTTAGAATATCTATTCAATTGCTGTTAGATCTCTACGAAACTATTTAAATTGTTGTCAAATCCTGTTGAATCATTCTATTAATTTTTTATTGGATTTTATTATCAATATTTTTTTATCTACTAATAGAATAACATGATAAATAATATAAGTATTTCTCATGTATAGAGATGACGTAGAAATACAGTTTTTGTATTAATGAATTCATTGATTAATTATTCGGAGCTTAAATTGGCAATAACTGATTGAAAATAAATCTATTGTTGATACGATTTACTCGGAGAATGAAACAAAGTTACAAACAATTGAGCTAGCGATTTATTTTAATCCTTGCGAGCATTAAATAGTAGAGGATGACGTGATTCTTATCGCTATTCACTTTGATAAAAGTCGAAATTCGAGTTTAAGGTGCATTAGGGAATTTCCGAGATAAGATATGCAATTTTTTATAAATTTTTGTGGTGAAAAACATCGGTTTAGCAAGTTGCAATAATAGTTATTCATGACAAGTGATGGTTGGAATTTAATGTTGAAGTGGATCAAATGACATTCGCTAAATCCTTTTGAGAAATCCACGGTTAAATGCAAATTTTGTAATCAGTCTCTTACGAATGCATGTCACGACATTTTTTATGTTGTCCGAATATTTAATGAACTCCCATGAAGAGGTTTTCAACGAAAACTAGCAATTTTAGAAGAAAACATGAAAACAACTTTTTTATCGAAAATTTCATTATCTAGAAAAAAGTCCCTTATCAATTATGCCGTAAGTCCACAATTTTCGCGGTAAATCATTAATTAGAAACGATTGTAAATTTGAGTTCTCTCGTCGCTGATGAATTATTATTTTTTTTTTCGTCTCGTTATGCGCATGTCGATAAATCAAGTACGTGAAAATGAAGAGTAGAAAAAAAATTGTAGACAGAATTGTTTTAATAAGTCGTTACCTCCAAGGACCTGCGTCAATTCATCCTTGAGTAAAAAAATTGTCGACGGAGTGAAGGATAGGGTGCAATGAAATGTGAAACAATCTTTTCATCCGGAATGACAAAGTCTGTCGCGTCTCAAAGGAATAATTGTTTAAATTTCTTCAGATATTTCTGGGAATCGCAAGATCGAGTAATAATTATTTTTCTCGGTAATTATTCAGTAATTAACACTACATTCCATTGCTTATAAATTAAGAGCAGCTGTTATGTTTCAATTTTTTTTTCCATTCTCGTTTTTTTTTTCTACGAGAGAAATTAAAAAATTGAAAAATTAAAAAATTAAAAAAATAAAAAATTAAAAAAAAAATAAAAATTTAAAAATTAAAAAAAA